CCACCACCACTACACATTCGCTCACGACGGACGCACGGAGGAGACCTACGGTTTCCCCCGTTCTTTTACGGCACCAATTTAATGGATCCGACCATCGGTTGGTACCAACCGGAGCAGTTCGGCCCCGCCAAGGAACTCTGGTTACACATCTGGGAGGCTGAAAAGGGTCTCGACGTACTGACTCTGCGTAACGACGCGACTGCGAACAACGCAATGGGCGTGCGGCTGCAGCAGGATTTCCTCGCGCTGGACACGAGCCCGACGGTAGTTGTGACTGCAACCGGCAACGTGCCGTTGTCCAACACCGCCGTCACCACTGCCGGCACCGCCGGTGCTGGCAATAACGGCAACGGGGGCGGCAATGTCAGCAACAGTAACAACGGTAACAACGGCCGCGCCGCCACCGCCGTTCATAGTAATGCCGCCGGCAACAGCAACGGCGAGCACCGCGTGCCCCACAACGCCTGCAACAATTACTACAATCCGTCGCGGAGGAAAAGCGACAATCGCGCGAGTACTTACGGTATGAATTACAACTACGACGCCCTCGTGGGCGAGTATGGCGGGACCCCTTGGCGTGTGCCGAACAAACATTACTCTAAAGGGGTGTTCGGGTGAGTATCTCTTAGCTTCGTATCCTGGACTCGGCGGCGAGATCGCCACATGGTCCATATGGTTGTTATTTAGGTTAGGTCATTTTTTGTACAGACTGCTTCAACGTGCTCCAGTGCCTTGAATATGTTGAAGATTGAGAAAAATGTTATAATTGAAAAAAAGGGAGGCTTAATAATCACTGGAGTGTATAATCTTTCTGTCATTTGAATATTCATTATTATCTGAAGAATTTATGTGTAACGTAAAGTTAATTTTTTTTATAACACATGTATAGATTTATGAACGTAGAGTGTACTTGCTAAAAGTTTGAAACAATATCGTTATAATTCGTTGGTTCGTAAAAAAAATTGTAAACATGTTTAATATTTGGATGTATGGTTCAAAAGGTATGTTGCGATATAATCTGAAGGACAAAATGAAAGTACTTATCAAAGATGCTTTGAATACATTATGGAGATTTAATTTCCACACTATATTTGTAGAAATTTGCGTTTTTGTAAAACTTATCAGTATATAAATAATTCTAAGGTTTAATTTAGTATTTTGTTCATTAAATTTATCATATTGCACATTATTTATAACATTATTAGAAAGAATATGATAAAATTCTACACTTTTTATATATTATATTTATAAAGCACTAAGAAGTACTCCAATATAATATTTTTTACTATTACGTTATTCTTTTTAAGCATTGAGATAAAAAAATTATCTGAGAAATAAATGAAAATTAATTTTACATAATGTAAATTAAATAATCATTTGTTTTACATAGGTTACATGAAGAAATAGAAGATTTTTTTAGATATATGTGTCCTTCACATGAAGAGCATGTTTTAAGATTAAGAGTTGTAAAGAGAATAGAACAAGTAATTTATGATCTCTGGCCACTTTCTAAAGTTGAAGTATTTGGCAGTTTTCGCACTGGTTTATATTTGCCTACAAGGTATATATTGTTATATGTATTTATAAATGTATGATAATATAATAATTGCATTATTTAAGTGCTCTATTTATGAATGTCTAAAACAAGAAACTTATTAATTTAGTTACACTTAATACATAGATGCCTTTATGTTATTACAGTGACATAGACTTGGTAGTAATAGGAATGTGGGAAAATCTTCCATTACGTACTTTGGAACGTGCTTTACTTGATCAGAACATTGCTGAGCCATCTTCTATTAAAGTGTTGGACAAGGCCAGTGTGCCGATCGTTAAGCTGACCGACAAGGAAAGTGAGATTAAAGTAGACATCAGTTTCAACATGAACAACGGTGTAAAGTCCGCAGAGTTGATAAACTCCTACAAGAGACGATATCCAGTTCTAGAGAAACTAGTCATGGTATTGAAACAATTCTTATTACAAAGAGATCTTAACGAAGTGTTTACCGGCGGTATATCCTCGTACAGTTTAATACTTATGACTATCAGTTTTTTACAAGTGAGTATAACAAGCATCGCCACAAGTGCGCTAATTGTGCTCCTCTTTATAACATCTTTCTTGAGGCAAAAATTACTCTTATTCAATCAAATGACTTTTGTTATTTCAGCTACATCCGAGACAGAATGCTTATTGTTCAAATGCCAATCTAGGAGTACTATTGATTGAATTTCTCGAATTATATGGTAGAAAGTTCAACTATGTTAAGACTGGCATTCGTGTAAAGGATGGTGGTACTTACATATCCAAAGAAGAGGTTAATTAACAAACTTTTTACATCGCGGTAGCAAGAATTTTTCATGTTATATAAATGCAATAATTTTTTGTATCAATTGATAACAACAGGTTCAACGAGACATGATAGATGGCCACCGACCATCTCTATTGTGCATAGAAGATCCACTCACGCCTGGGAACGATATTGGTCGCAGTAGTTACGGTGCTTTGTATGTAAGAGATGCATTTGATTGGGCCTACTTTGTCCTCTCTCAAGCAGTTAGCCCGTTAAATATCTTGGTTAATGACGCCAGTAAAGTAAGGTAAGACTTTAATTCCATATCTCTTTTTATGTTCTATTCCATCCCGCACGATATATTTGCATTATAAACGATATCTTTGTTATAAACACAGCATACTAGGAAGAATTATTCGTGTGACCGACGAAGTAATAGATTACCGTAGATGGATCAAAGACACATTCCTACTACCTGTAAGTGAAGCAGATTCTCTGTCAAGCTCTGGTACATCTGGTTCCGATGCGTCCACTCTTTCAGCACCCGCTAGTGACACGGTAAATATTCTATAAGTAGGAGTCCAATATTTTTTCAACTATTTTTTTTTATCAATTGACATTTATTACTTTCAAAATAAGTGATTATAACCTTCAAATAAAGTCGTATATTCATTAATTTGGACTTTTGGGTTAAGGAGGTTTGTTCACTGGGCAGATGGTAAGAGGGGAAACGTTTTCTAGATACCAACCACTTAACCTAAAATATTGTACTCAAAAGTATTATGTTTATTTGTATACAACTATTTAAAACGAGGTTATATAATTTTTGCAGGGACGCTCAGAGGCGTCAGCGCTACTTAGACTATAATTTTATCGATTAATTTACTTACTATATGAGTTCTGATTAATATTTTTAATTCTTAATGTTACATTTAATCTTTCGCACATCATACGTTTAGAAATACTACAGTAGACCCTTGATTTTATGGACTCCGATTTTTGAGATTGTTTTTAATTTGCAATTTATTTGTTTAAGGATTCCGAATGCAGTCGTGGCAATTCTCCAAACACTGGCGGAAAGAACGAGAATGACAAAAACAAAGATAGGCATTTTTATAATAGCCATCAAATTCATCATTATTCAGGAAGAAAAGCGTTTAAAGCAACTACTCATGGTATGGCACTCAAGCGATTCTGTTTGCTCCCTGTGTGTATTACAAAATTACTGCTTTAAATTTCAATGAGATTATAACATTAATGCATATGCATAAACTCAAGTATACATTTCGCATTGTTGCGCGCTGCCTTTTGTTTATCAAAGATTTTTGTGTTTTGCAGTGAATCATCAACAGAGTTTCAAAGCCAGTTATCGTATTAACAATAATTTAGCTGGTCAAAACAAGACCAAGCACACACTCCACAGTAATGGAAACAACAACAACAACAACAACAACAACAATACTAGTCATAGCCCAAGCTCTAGACCAAACATAGTAAAAAGGAAGAAGCAGTGTACAATGCAGCGTGGGACCGGGGATTGTGTACGGTGATGAAACGTGCATGATAATTTTGGACATTACTTCCGTCACTTAAGTAACGAGCTCAATATCATAACTGTGTGATAGTAAGACAGCGATTTATATCACGCAACAACCGAATCGTCTTAGGCTCCTCCCCACCCTTCTTTTATTGTCAGCTCAATGTATGGAAGGGCACATCATTATCTATAGTTCTAAGAGAACTTACAGTTTGGAAATTTTACGATTCTTGCGCAAGCAAGAATACTTAAGTAGTAGAGCTATACATGTACATATATATAAATATATATACACACACATTTCTTTTTTTTTTCAGTTAGAATTATACTTTGCTCTGTACGCGAAAGTTCATGTACTAAAGACGTACAGAATTTCTAATCACGAGTTGTTCAAGATAGAATCCGTTTATATTACATTTTTATTGCACAGGCTATAAACGATACTCGAAGAGAAATGTAATGTCATAACAATGTTTCATTGATTATCATGAAAAGATTTGAATTTATTGCCATCCTCAAGTAGCGCTTGTATTCAGAGTCATTATAATTAACGTAATATATTTATATAATATGAATGATACAGACATATGGATATGAGTTGTGGTATGTTTTCCTCGGGAACTTTAACACATAAAACTATAAAACACGCTGATAATAACAACAAAAACTTAGTTTTCTATATGAAACTATATTCTTATAACAATGGAGTGACAGCGAATTTGGTGATATTGGGACTTATCTAATGTACATATTGTAATATACATCAAGTATAGAGAAATAAGTCTAAGAGTTACCTACTAAATATTTTCTTTTTTTTTAATTTATAAATACTTAAAATAATGTTTGTTAAAATAATTTTATCATAAAAAATTCGCGAATGAAACCGTATCTAAACATGTATTATTGTTTTTTTTCTGTTATATCTTTTTTTTTTTTTTTTTTGTCGAATGTATGAAATATTGTTGGAAGATTTTGCTATGTTTTTCAGATTTTAGTAAAATTACAGGTCATGTGTACTGATAATACAATGCTATAAGAAGAAAAGAAAATTTTGAATAAAAATATTTTTAAGAAGTAGCTTATTATCGAAACAAGATGACAACGCTTCGAATCTTTGTAGTCTATTTCGTAGCAACAATTTTTTTTTTTTTCGCAAATTAGCTTGATCTATCTTTTGATCTATCTTGATCTTCTTTTGTACAAAAAAAAGCTAATTTCTTAATATTCCCCGAACAATGACGTATTATTTTTATATCGGATAATTAAAACATACACGTTTGTATCATATAAAAGGAAAAAAAAAACGAAGAATCTGATATTTATGAATCTTACATTGCATTTGATAAAGCTTATGTATATGACAATACGCGAAAAAGGCCTTGACATTACTTAAATGCTCCATATGTTACGTTATGTTCATTGATCATGGTAGACATAGTTCACTATTGAATATTACATTCCGTTGATGCAATAACTAATAAGACGAAATAGAGTATCTTACTGAAACAAATCTCGGTCAAAATTCTTTCTGATGCAGTTGCATTTTTGTTCAACGATTTTTTTAAGATGTAAAGATCACCCCCACAGACTCCCTAGTTTAGCCACATGAATTGAGAATATTTAGCTTTCGAGTCTTTATATTGTGTAATACCCAGTATTCCGTGTATTGTTTAATTTAAAGTTCTTTCGTATGTAATATTGTATGCTGTGATTGAATTTAATAATTAAATTGTCAATTGCTCCTAAAGATATATATAAATATATATAAATATATAATTTAAAAATGTTACTGTGTAAAGCATTATATAAAGTCATATTACATTTTTAAAACTATGTAAACTATTATTATTATCGCTTAGTGATCCTCAGCAAATTACGTGTTTTTTATAAATATCAGAATTTCGTAATCATTGAAAATTTGATAACAAAACTTCGTAATCACTCATATTTATCGAATTTCCCGAACGACTATTGGAACTTCTGTAAAAAAAATGAAAAAAATGAAAAAAAAAAAAAAAGTTTAATAAATATGAATGATGCCGACATGTGATCCTAATTATTTCTTGTCGTTTATATATTTATAAGAGAAACGATTTTATTTCAAAATTATTGTTTAAGAACTAAGCTAGATTGTAAACTCTTGGATAACAATATAATATTCTCTGTATTTTTTAAAATTTTTGATATAGTGTATTTATATTTGTGTAAATATATTTTTAAATAAGCAGTCATGTAACGATGTAAAGCGATGAATAATGCAATTTTACTTTTCTAAAATTATATCACGATACAATATTCATAATATATAATATAATCGAATCGAATGATTTAAGAATCGTCGGTCCGGCAACGAGTTAAAAATACCTAAAATTATCCATATACAATGGACTCTCGATTTTGCGGTCTAATAAAGCGGAACAGTAGTCTGAAAAGTCTGATTATTCGGATTTTCCAAAGTTTAATATAATTGGTTAGGCAACTATTGTTATCACGTTACGGCTAAAATATGCAAATTTATCGCAGAGCTAATGCTAATGCAAAAATACTATTAGGAGTGCGCTTTCCACCATAATTAATATATATAGTTTATCAGTTATTTCATGAATTATTGACGGACCGTTTGAATTTTAAATGTTCTTGCAACTTTCAGATTTTGTCCGGATTTTCCGAAATCCGGTAAATCAGAGTCCGTGAAATCGAAGGTCTACTGTACTTATAAATTTGTATATATGCACCTAATCCGAAGTAAAACATGTAAAAAAAATATATATAAAAATAAAATAAACCTTGCTTACCTTTTTCTTCAATCGAGTCCAATGTGAGTAACTTACATTTCATATAATATATATTAATTTATATTTACATTTCACATAACTTACACATTTAAATAAACAAATTAGCGATGTATCTTAATATATCGACAGTGTTCTAATATACGACATAATATTTATTTAAATTTTGTCACTTGCACATATACATAGATAGGTGCTTAGGGAAAGAATTACTGTACACAATGACTAATAATACGAGTAGAAGCAAATTGAATTTACTTTCGAGCGCAGAGCCCATCAATCGGATTCATATCAAGCTTCTTCATGCGGTCTAACTGTGCTAATCGGCGTTCTAGCGAGAACGTTTCCGGCAACTCTGGGTATGCTGAAAGGAAAAATATCATTATGTCACCCCCATATCTATTTCTTAGCAGTATAAATTGAGTCAATGTGAGAAAGACATACCGAATGTTTTGAAATATAAGAATAGCCAAATGGCAGAGCTTATCAGTACCATACACATTCCAAGAATGCCTTTCCATTCTCCCGTTGGTGCATCAATTTCACTAAACGTTTGACGAAAACTAGCGCGGTATAGAGCTCTTTTCTCTTCAACAGACAGCTTCTTCCAATCTCCCTTCTCTTTCTCCCTCAATGCCTGATAAACAAATATGAGTTTGATTATTATCAATGAGACAGATTATTAATAAGAAATTATTTAACTCTGTATCTTCCTGTACCATAACATCGGGAGTATTTTCCTTCCAACGTATCGCAGGACAAGGAAAGTCTACTCTGTCCACGTAGACAGGTTCACCGTTGTATCCAAATCCAACCACATCCCTGTTACCAATCCTGTCTACTGTCATTATTCTGCATTTTTGAATTTGAATAATAGGTCGCAAGCGACTTGCGAACAATCTACTTGCCATTGCTTTCTGAAAAATGTCACAAAAAATAGATTGAGATAAAGTTTTTTATATTTTTAATTTCTAATTTTAAATGTTAAAAAAATGACATTTGAGACAACACTTTATCATCATGTAATACCATATCTTATCTTATTATTACATAAAATAAAGATAGCACAAAATTTGTGATACTTTTAATAATTATATCACAGAATAAATAGAAAATTATATTCTACTTAAAAATAATTGTAATGTAAACTGTTTATAACATCACAAATTATTATATCAAATATTATGTATGTAATGTCTAAAAATATAATGTAATATCAAAAAATAGATTTAATGCAAATACATATTTTAAATTTTATTAATATTTTGCCATATTTTATATACGTATTAATCTAATTACACAATTATTATAAATTTGTCATTTGATATGAGAATAAACGTGAACATTTAAGACATATGTCTCGACATACACGTTGCGGTAATAATTTTTACTAAGAAACTTCAATATTCAGAAAATATCGTGCTCTGAAATCATACGTGCAAGAGTTATCTAACTAACAATGAGGATAATCGCGAGACGAAAAAAAAATGCGCAATAAAAATTTATCACAGAGAAATGAAACCCAAATTTACATATTCGAAAAAATACTGCGATACTGATCGAGATTAATCATTACGAAAGTGGAAGATTAATATTAACATCACATAATTTACCGTTTGCGAAAACACTGCACACAGAGTAAAATAAAATGGCTGAGAAGAACAGATTAATAATCAAGATGTGCAAACCAATGGGTACAAACTGGTACAAACTTCCTCTTTTCGACAGGAGTGAAGGTAGCGCCGCTGTCGGAATAGAAACGCAATTGTGTTTTTTTTATCTTGATCCATTAGGGCCTGTGTCCACAATGCTGGAACTCAATACGAAACAACAATCGTGGATACAAGCCCTAATGACTTTCTAACCCCAATTGTCAACTTTATCTCGCTTAAAATGTAGAGAATTTTGTAAAAATGTTAAATGTGTGGCATAATTATAATTATCGTATAAAATATTTTAGACTGGGACGACTATTTTGCACGGTAACTATTACGATAAATAGATTTATAGATCCTTATTAGTTTCAATAAAATTATGTCTATGTTTTTTTGGGTGTACAAAATAAAAGATGAGGTAAATTTTACATTAACTTGTTTAATTTAACTTTTAATGAAGTGCATTTATATGTTAACAAATGTGCAAGTATTTAAGTAATATCTTTTTGCAAAACAATGTCTGAATATGTTGAATTAAAATCATTGCTTCGATTAATAAAGAAAGTAATCATGGAAAGTAATGAGTTTAAAAGCTAAGAAAATAGTGACACTAATCGAAATAAACTTATGCAAAGTTCTAATATAATTAATATGTTTTTAGCTTCTTTTTATCCATATAATTATTTAAAAATATGAAATATTTATGGAACAATTTCAACGCAAACTTTAAAGTTAGAAAAAATCATTATTGAAACAATGCGTCTATGATATATATACATTAAAAATGAAATGTAAAGATTTAGTATTTTTTATATATAGAATTTGTATGTTACATATCTAGTTGATTTATATATTTCTACTAGAAAACAAGTAAAAATTTAAGAGACAATCAACAACATGATATAATTGGTCCTCCCGATCCAGTTTCAAATCTGAGACCTGTTGTATTCGCTTGTTCTCCAAAAGAAACATATTTAGAGAAAAAATATAGAAAACTTAAGGAAGAGACTCAAGAATGGAATCAAGCATTCTGGTCGCAGCATAATATTAATTTCGTTGAGGTATGATTCAGAGTTCCTATAAAATATGAGGTAACATTTAATGTCATTAATAAAATTTCAGGAACGTAAACAATTTCAACAGCTACTGAAAACACAGGGAAAAATAGCACCGACTGCAGATGACATGTCTGTATTTTATAAACAATTTCTAGATAAAAATTGGCAAAGTCATTTCAATTATAACATTACGTGGTATAAAAAGAATATAAAAATTTTACTTTTTGGAATATTGATAAATATATCTAAGTTGAAATTTAAATAGCGATTTTGATTTAAAGAAGTAATGTCTTCACAGTTTTGATTTTGTATATAGTTTTCTTAGATTTCTTGTATAGTTACAAATTCTGTAGAAAATCCGATTTTGCAATTTAATCCTGAAAAATTATAAAAAATAAAAGTAAAATGAAAACTACAGAAACTTTTTATTTCAATCATTTAAAAAAAAATTTATATTTCCTTATTCATTAAATTTTTGCAGAAGAATTTCTTATCGACTGATCCAAAGCTTTATGGTTTCTCCACATGAAAGCTTCACTAAGAAGGAAAAGAGATACAACTAATGTACTGTTCTCTCTCTCATTCCATGGACTTATGCTAGGCTTATATGGAAAAGTGCATTTCAGTATGTATAGAATTCAGTGCTCGAGAGATAATGCATCTCTTACAGAATATATGAACGATGATATAACCGAGTTGTCGAACCGGCTTTTAGAAAATTTTGAATGTTCGTCCACGCACGACCGGTTTGTAAATGCAGAGGTTATAAGTTGCTCCATAATCATCTGTTCGTATATTTTGATATCCTTTCGTATTTACAAAAATTGACATTATATTTGTATATCGATTTTTTAACAATAGCAGTCAGCTCTGTATAGGATTTTATCTGCTTGTTAAAACGACAGCAATTTGAACAGAATTTGGAACAATTTCCAACTACATATTTTTAAGCAATACTATGTCATGAATATAACAGTAACGTATGTATTGCGAAATAAATGCCGTTCTATGCTTTTATTATTTAGTTTATTTATCCATTTTGTTTTCTTTCTACTTGTTTATGTAGATGATGTCATGTGATAATATGATATTCTGCTCCGAGATATCAGATGTTATAGTTAATATGTAAAAGCATACATAAAAAAAATTAAAGACGATTAAAGATTACTGTAATTTTAGGTAAAATCTAGTATAGATCATGAATAAATTATAAATGCACAATTAAATGTTTAATTTTTGAGAATACTTTATATTGTCTGCAGATGCTGGCTAATTTTTATTTCACACAATGATCACTAGTGATGTACAAGACTCCTTAAAGGAAGCTCTGTACGAGACATTAACTGGAATTTTATCACCGCATTATGAAACTCGCAAAGCAGCTGAGCAAAGAATTCAAGCTTTGGAAGTCACAGAAGAGTTTGGAGTACATTTGACAGAATTTGTTGTGGATTCTAGTGGACACTTGCCAATTAGACAATTAGCTTCTGTTTTATTGAAACAATATGTTGAGACGCATTGGTGTTCGTTGGCTGAGAAGTTCCGTCCACCAGAGCTTAACAATAGTGCTAAAGAAAGGATTAAGGAGTTACTACCTTTAGCGCTTCGAGAATCTGTCAGTAAGGTAATTTATTTGATTAAACATCTTTTTAGTAGTCATAAAAATAATTTATTACTTAAATGAAAACATTGTGTTATTGTATACATAGCACAATATCGTTATGTGTGGATTATGATATATCATGATTTCAGGTGCGAACCGCAGTAGCTTATGTGATATCTGCTATAGCACATTGGGATTGGCCTGAAAACTGGCCTGCCTTGTTTGACGTTCTTGTCAGCTGTTTAAGAGAGGAGAGTGAGTATGCTGTTCATGGAGCAATGAGAGTCTTAACAGAGTTCAGTCGAGATCTCACAGATGTTCAGTTACCAAATGTTGGACCTGTTATTCTTCAAGAGATGTACAGAATATTTCAAAATGAAAATGTAAATTTAATGGAAAATCAAATTGTTTTCAATATATATTTCTTGTTATCTTCATGTGTTTCTTGCAGCAGTATTCAGTCAGAACACGCGGTCGTGCAGTTGAGATTTTTGTAACGATTACAACTTTGGTTGCTAATACGGGAATTTATGAGAAGGGGTTTATAGAGCAGTATCTACAGCCAACCATTCCTATGTTCTGTGAGAAGTTTGTTGAGTGCCTCAGAGTGCCTAATGGCCCGATTAGCGACAGTGGATTGAAAACAGATATTATTAAAGCTATAAATTGTCTTGTTACAAAATTGCCCAAGTACGTGTCAGATCTTTTACCTCAAATATTGCCATCTATATGGGAAACTTTATGTCAAAGTGCAAAGATCTATCAAGAAACAACGGTCAATACCGATGAGGATGTTAACGATAAAGAAGTTGATTCTGATGGTATGACTCTCTTTTTTAATAATAACAATGTTATAATCAATGTTATTTATTCCGTACATTTTTTTTCCAGGCGAAGTAATTAATTTTAATAGTTTGATTATTGCGATATTCGAGTTTGTTCAGACCATTGTGGATCGTAAAAGGTTCATCAATCTATTGGATAATATGTTACCGGAAGTTATGTATTATCTAATAATATTTATGCAAATAACATTTGATCAGATTCAGCAGTGGACAACAAATCCGAATCAATTTGTCGAAGAAGACGAATGCACCTTCGATTACAATGTTCGAATTTCGGCGCAAGAACTTTTAACGGTGAGTAGAAATGTAAAAATTAAGACTCGCGTCGCATTTTTATGATTCATGAAAATTAATATTTTCTCATCATCTGCAGACTCTTATCAATCACTTTAAAGAAAAAGCGGTGCACACACTTTTCGATATTGTTACACGACATATTGAAGCAACAAAGACATTACAAGCCAATAGTGTTGGTAGCAACAGCAACGAAAGTTGGTGGAAATTACGAGAATCGTCTCTTCTAGCATTAAGTCTTTCTAAAAATATCATTATTAAAGAACATCAAGCGGGAATGTTGCAGTTCGATATCATTAAGTTTCTAGACACAGTGGTTTTGGGAATATTAAATGATTCAGGTGATTCATCCGTGACGAGTAACAAATTTAACCTTTTGCAGTCCGCAATTCTTACGGCAAAAGGTTAATATTTCACATTTACGTCGAATCATAATTCGCTGTATATTCTTACTTTAGATTCGCCCCCCTTGCTTCTCGGTCGTTGCTTATGTCTCGGTGGTCGATATGCCAAGGTGATGCCGCCAGAAGTGAGTTCCAGATTTCTAGAAGCAACAGTTAACGGCTTGCAGGAAAATCAACCGCCATGTATTCGCATTAGCGCTGTTAAAGCGATTTATTGGTTCTGCGAGGCGTCGACTGAGAAAGATTTTCTTGTGAACATAATACGCTGCCATATGCCCAATATCTTTCAAGGACTATTCAGCTTAGTTAGTCAACCGAATACAGATATTTTGACTCTGGTCATGGAGACGCTCCAAATGCTAGTCTGGGTAATACTGACACTCTCGCGTCACGTGCATGAATTTTTATTCGCAATGCACGTTTTCTACTATTTAAATGATACGGATTTGTGTTTGTAGCAACATAAAGAGTTTACAGCATCGGTGGAAAACAAGATTTGTCCGCTGACAATTGCGGTGTTTGTAAAGTTTAATAGCGATCCGACAATCTTAGATATATGCCAGGATATATTCAAGGACTTGACGCAGAATCCGAGCTGCATCGGGCCGCTGCAAACTCGTATAATACCGACTCTTATGAGCATGATGGCGATTACTCCTATGAATAAATCAAAGGACGGTACGATCTTTTGTTGTTGCACTTGTCGAATTTAATTTTAATCGAATTAATCTCCAATTACTCTTTGTTTTTTTTTCCATTAGAAGGATCTCGAAGCGTAGCGTTAGATGTGTTGAAAGTTTTGGTGCAGTATTCACCGACGCCTCTGAGTAGTGCTTTGATCGAAACTGCTTTCCCTGCTTCTTGTCATTGCCTTCTTAACTCGGAGGATCACGCGACGCTACAGAGCGGCGGAGAGCTCATCCGCACTTATTTATCCGTAGCGGCGCAGCAAGTCATCGTACACAGAGACAATGAAGGGCAGACTGGATTGCAGTACATATTGCAGATTATTGCTCAGCTTTTAAATCCGCAGGTACCATAGCTGATCATTAAGGCTGCGCTTTCCAGCAAGGGATTCAAAATTGAATTTCGGTATGGTTTTCACATCGGTTTGTAACTGCCAAGTGAGAAAATCTTTGCCCAATTTACAATTGTGAATTTACGACCGTACAAGATGATCTTGAGATCAGACTGGGTTAAAACCAGAAATCGATTTGCCTTCTTTGCTGGAGAGCAATTTAATTCATCGAAAATCAATCACTTCCGCTAGAAGATAAAGATATTGATGCATATTTCAGTCGAGTGAGTTTACCGCTACTTTCGTTGGGCGCCTAGTCACCACGCTGATTAGAAATGTTGGGAACGGTCTCGGCGAGAATCTCGATTTGTTGCTGAAAGCGGTATTGAGCAAGATGCAAAGTGCGGAAACATTGGTCGTTATGCAGAGTCTACTGATGATTTATGCGCACCTTATAAACACACAATTCGACGCTGTGTTGAACTTTTTGTTCACCGTGCCCGGTCCGACAGGACAAAGTGCGCTCGCGTTCGTGCTATCTGAATGGGTCAGCAGGCAGCACCTGTTCTTCGGTGGATACGATCGCAAAGTCGGAACGGTTGCATTGTGCAAGATTCTAGAATACGGAGTCACACAAGGGGATAGCAGGTTAGATGAAATCACGGTCAAGGGAGATATAATCATCGCAGGTTTGTGGTTACTTTATTTTTAGTTTATTGTTAATTATAATTTTAGTTAACTGTATAAATAGATAGAGATATTATAATTTAATGAGCTAGTTTACATTAATCAAGACCCAATGAATCGCATAATGTATGAAGTAGCAAAGCAACGATCACGCTAACGCGGCACAACTGTGCGTACAGCAAGGCAGCTCTGCGTTCAGCTTAGCGAAAACGTTAATTCCTTATTAATAGAATCTTCGAGAGAGATCGTTATACGTTGGTTTTATGTGGAATGATGATTCATAACCAATGAATTGAAAAAAAATTACTTTTTCTGCAATTAATAAACGTGGTTGGTTTTCCACGCTTATTTTTATATCTATTTTTTTATTCCAATATCTGCTTTATTCTCATTTTATAGTCGATAAATCGACTATGTTAAAAGGTATTACATACTGAAATTTTGCATTGTATCTGCAATGATTTGCTGTATAAAATCACTGCTACATTTTGCATGCAAGTTATTTTGTTCTACGAAAGATATTTGTATATTTCAAAATAGCAAGTTAAAATTCAGGAATATACAGGGATCGATGATGGCGTGAGAACCAGAAGTAAAGCCGAATCACAGCCTTACGAATGGACTACAGTGCCTGTACTTGTAAAGATTTTTAAAGTAATAATCAATGAATTATCGAACGATATCGAAGCTGTCAGTGCCAGTCAAGATACAGAAGTGAGTATTCTTTTCTTTTATCTTATTTATCATCATTTTAGGCTAATCTTGATGCTAATTGATCATTGTTTGATAGTTTAATGAATCTTTGATTATTCATTAATCTCTGTACTTAATTCTTACAAGAATTCATAGTCTTTGCGTAATTCTTAATCTAAAATTATCTGCGGACTATGCATTTTGAATAATGATAGATCTTTTAAACAAGAATTTGTAAAACAGATATTTACAATAATGATAATTACGATCTATGAATGCGAATTTATAATCGATTACACTTAATTAAAAGTTGAAAATCATTTACGACTTGCATATGGCATGCATACAAGTCTTATTCTACCAAAATAACTTTTGCTGTTAGGTCTCTAACGACGAGGATGAAGATGAAGACGAGGACGAATTGATAGATCCCGGAAATGAGACTGCAAATGCTTTACGTAAGTTCTACACAAATGTTCCGTAACATCATCTGTAAAAAAGTACTAATACGAGCGATTTGTAGAATTTGGAGGCATGGACGAAGATAATGACGAGGAAGAGGATCCAGAATTGCTGCAGGACTCGATCTACCATTTAAATCTCAGCCAATATTTGCGCGATTTCCTGCTGAACTTTTCCACTCATCATTGCTTCCGCATGTATATCCAACACCTGAATGTGCCAGAACTAAAAGTTTTGAGGAACATAAATATTAACGGGCTCATGTAACGGAGAAATTTGTAAGATCGGAACCGTTTTTGAATTTCATAATAAACAATCTTTTCTATACCCAGCACGCTTGTCATTTTTATATTCCGAAATCGAATGCTGTCTCGCTACACTTATACTTACGGGGTCATAAATGCTGTTACAAAATGTTAATTTGTTGTTGTCATTGTATATATATTAATGGTACATTTTATTCGGGTTTTTATTTACATTACACATATTTAGAATCATGTCGCATCTACATACAAAAGACAATATTCGTGCACCCGATTGCTTGTGTGTTTATATATGTAATCTAAATTATACAACGTATTTTCTACACTGGTATCTAACATCTAACATCATTTTATATGTGCATCACATGCATGCTGCAGCAAATTCTCATCAAAAAGTACATAATTTATGGTGTACGCTCACACTTCTTATTCATATTTTGTTTCTTTTATATATTATGTACTTAAAAAAAATGTATGTATAAATTTATTGGATCCTCTAGGGATTACAAAGTCATCTATTTAAAAAAAATATGTATATACCACGATGAGAGAAATAACAGGAGGGCATGTTGGGGTGAGAGGGTTGTTGCAAACTATACGAAGGGTGGGGTAGCGAACCTGATTGATTGCGTCGTATTACAACCGTGAAGTAAAGCGTAATATATTTTAGAACGCGGTACAGTCGATGCAATCCATAGTGTAATTGTTTTACTATTAGAGCATTTTCGACTGAAGGGATTTGGATCGATCCGGGAGCGATTAATGACGTCATTGGATCGTCTCCGTCAAAATTCGCTAACAGTGCCGAAAACCTATAGTATACGTGATGTGAACTATAGATTTTCGATACTGACAGCTGAATATTGAGAGAGAAACGCACTTAGAATCGCGATTATTCGCTCTCGGATTCATCCAAATCCGTACAGTCGAAAACGATATGCGTTCCGATAACTCGCTCATATATTTCTGGATACAACTGTACTGCGGAGAGTAATATGGCGCGTTAGGTACCCTTCCTCTCCCTTCCGTCTGGTGCGAATACCCTTCGCCCGCTAACACACCCCTCTGTTATTTCTTTCCTTCACAATATATATATGGTTGCTTTCCAGTAAGGAGACACAAATAGATACAGTGTCAGATACTGGAGAGCTGTGCGAAGCTGCCTGTTCAAACATTATTTGATTTTTGGTGCAGCCAGTAGTTCACGTTTATAAAAAGTGATTTTTTTCCGCATTTTGGAGAAATAAGTTTTTAAAGATTTCATAAAAAAGATACTCATTTAAAGAAATTAAAAATTGTGTGTCTGAATAGTAAGTATTGCTTATTAAAATTATTTTTAGTCATCTAAACAGGACAATTCTTGCAAAATAAAATGTTTTAAAAGGATATAATTTTTGTTATTATAAAAAACAAAATTTATTATTATAAACTCATGTCTTTTATTCGCTTTTGTCATTTTTAGTTGCGAATAGAATATTATATTATATTCTCTCTAAATAAATTAATATTCTAATAAGCGAGGATGTGTTTTTTGGAGTCTCATTGAGCGAATAAATTTCCTTTGAGTAATGTTGGCAATATATAAAATATCTTTTAATTATAATTTATTAAATTATTTAAACTAAGAATAAAAAATTTTTTCGGTGTCTTTATCCACAACATACGATATATAACTAAGTTAAAAAAAGTAGTGCTTAATTTTTACAACAGTCTAAAATTTTTTGTGTGTTTATCGATGTTAGCAAACACAGAAGCATGCATCGCGCAGCATGTTTAGTTAATAAGGCGTCTTGCATGCGATCTAACACGAAAAACCCTCTGTGCCGCAGGCTTAAAACAGAATTTACATCCTATCCTAGATTTTTTTAAGAGTATCTTTTACGTGTTTCGTGTATTTAGTTTATTCTCGTTTTATATAAAAATGGTGTAAAAATTCATAAAGCTGCGTCCGCGCTGTATAATCGGTAAACAGTCGATATTTATGAATGGTCAAAATGTAGCGCCATCACTCGTGGCATAACAGGTAGCGCTGTGAATAACATTATTTTTCTATTAAAAATTTGACAGTCAAATTGAAAACATTGAACTCTATACATACTACAATAGAACGCGTCGTGGCACTCAGGTTTGCGGGTCAATGAAGAAGACAGAAAATTAGCTGTTTTAAAGATGCATTTTGAATTCAGACAAAAGATTTCGAACAGTTCGAAACAAAATGAGGAAGAAAGCATCGAGTTTTAACATTTCGGACATAAACTAACAGTTCGAACGTAAGCGGCGATCGATCTATGTTAACTTGTAAACGTTCCAGTATCTGAATATACATAGAGTCGTGGTATCTAGATACAGCTAACTTGCTACCCTTTCGTTCACGAACTGACAAGGTCCATTCTATTAGGCTTTTATGGGGAAGACGCGTCCTAGTATGTATAAAGTAAGTTGAAATCGATGATAAGGCAATGGATCTCCGGATATACAGTGCTTCTCGCCGCAATTTCTACCATGATGTACGAAAGGGAAAAGAATATTGATGTATGTGCGCCGGGCCTTGTGTTAATATACTATTTATCATACATATCTACAAATCTATAATCATCACGGTTTCTACCCGTAGAATATTTTTGTCATATGTGTGTAAAACGATCTACATTTATTATCACGTATCGCAGATATTTACAAAATTAATTGCGCATGTAAACACTCCACATATGTGTATTTGAGTTTCTCCGTATTTTACTTTTATATCGATATATTTAAATTGATTTATTGCAGTTTGGCATATCGTTCTGTCCCCCTTTTTTTCCACGAAGGCTCAAAAGCTCATGATTAAATTGTCTCGCGTCTATTCAGCAGAAGACTGAAATAATTTAATTAATAAAAACAGAATTATTGATTTTGGCTCTTTAGTATATTATTCAATATAATGAAAATAAATTAAGCTACTAGAGCCGGAGCTAGTTGACACTGCTCATTTATTAAATTATATTATTAACAACCCGTTAATACGTACAAACGTTTCGATCATTTTTGAAATAATTTATTTCTGTTTTGTCTTTTCTTTTTTTTGTCATTTGTGTTAAATTAGTTTATATTTTTTGTATTTATGTCTCCGGCGCTTCTTCTGTTCTGGCACCCCTGTGCAAGGATACAACCTCTTTTTCCCAGACCGTTCTCTCTCTTCCTCCTCCCTCCCTCCCCCCCTCTCTCTCTTTCTGCGCGCGAGCACGCACCATATGTGCTACACGGGGTGGTCTACTCGAGTTCCGTGGACCACCCTGTGTATTGTTCGCAGAATCGTGGGAAATGCATGTTTATGCGAGTTGTGTATTTAGATTAAACTTGACGGATTGAAGGTACATGAATTTTCGTTTATACTGTAGTAACCGACAATAGACCCATCAGTTTCCCACCTGTGCCAGGACCGCTTGCTCCCACTCTATTCCCGTGAACCAACATTTCTTGAACGGTGGTGAAATCGTCCAGAGTCGTTTTTTTGCGCGCCATTTTTTTGTGACTAAGCTCTACAATGTTCAACGGTTTTTTCGACACTTTGTCCTCCGTGTATTCGCATATCAGCAGATCATTGGGCTGCTGCTGCTGTTGCAGCAGCAATTCCTGCTGTCGCTGTTTGCGCTCGCGCGCGCGTTCCAATTGCCGCTTGCGCTCCTCCTTGCTCCAGTAACGTCCAACCTGGAAAAAGTACAATAATGAACACATGCTATGTGTTTTAAACGTGCACAATCGTTTATAAGAAACGCGGAGAATATTTTATTTCCTCTTAATATTAATACAATCGAGCTCTGACTCGGACACTCACTTTCATCTCCGATATAGTGTCGTCCTCGGTGGTGTGACCGGCCCTCTCCTCGGATATCTTGATCGCTCGATTCCGCAATATTCGATTCCTGACGGGTCGCCTGGCAATATACCTCGTTCCATCCGCTCTCCTTTTCACCTTCCACTCCATCTGCACCTCGCCCTTGTCCTCCGGCGGCAACAACGTCGCGGACGTGCACACCTGCTGGCTGCCGACGAATTGGTACTGCGTAAGATTCGGCGCTTGAAAGTTGCTGTGCGACTTGGACTTCCTTGCGCCGCCCGTGAGCGTCTCCCTGCCGGTCGTCAGGTTCTTACGATTGAGGGCCTGCTTGAACAGCTGCTGCTGCAGCATCATCGTCTGCTGCAGATTTGCCACGTTGGTGTACATCGTGTCGGCTGGCAGCGTGTTGGCATTCATCGACGGCTCGTTGCGATCGCGGTGATGGTGCGACGACAAACTTTTTCTTATACTCTGATTCTTCGCCCTGGTCATCGCGGACATCGCACTCGGCACGGGACAGTTGCAGCTCAGCTTAGGCGGCTGATGTTGCTGCGGTGTTTTCGGCGGGCACAGCACTAGGGTGCTCTTGTGATGATCCCTCTCGCCCTGATGAAGCTTCAGGGTCAGAGGATTGCTATGGCAGGACTCGCCGGTGTTGTACGCGCTCGAACTGTCCTTCTCCTCGCCAGAGCTGTTGCTTTTCGAGGAGGACTGCCACTTCTGATTCTGCTGACTGCCGCAGCCGGCCAGATGGTTCTGCGTCGTGTCGCCGTGCGCGACGGCGTGATTCGATTGCTGCGTCCATTGATGATGCTCATACGGCGACGAGTAGATCGGCTCGCTGTCTGACTCCGGTATCGTCTCGTAAATATGTTCGGTGTCGCTCCAGACGTGGCTCGAGTACGCCTCGACGAGCTTTACCGGCGGCGCTGATGCCGCCGACGGAGCGGACTGCTGGCCGCGTAAGGAAACACTCTCGAGTCTCTTCGAGCAATCCTTGATGGTATCCTGCATCCATTCCTTGGACGCGTTGTTACGCTCCTCCGTGTGATGCGCCGGCGAGATTGCGCTCTTGCCGGACTTTTGCGAATTTTGCGACGAACATGTGGATGACGAATTCGTGGAGAAGATGTTGGTTGCCGATTGTTGTTGCTGCTGCTGCTGCTGCTGCTGCTGTGTGTGAGAAGGTATGGGTGGAGCCGGTTTTACAGTGCAGTTGGTCACCTCGCTCTCATCGGAATGTTCCTCCGTTTGCTGCTGTTGCTGACGGATCAGCTGCTCGATCATGCTATTCTGATATGCCGGTAGATTCTCGGGCGAAAGCGGCGGTGAATCCTAAAGTGACACGAGATTCATGATAGATAGCGGCACACAAGCTACGGGCACTTTGCAAAACTTTATAAAACTCGACTTACTTGATGATAGATGCGCCTGTCACTGTATTCGTCGTCCTAAAATAAAAATAAGTTGGTTTGTTAAAATCGTAATAAATAACAACGAGGAGCCACAGCTAAACATCAATGTACAAAAAGAAAGAAAAAAAATAAGTTTGTAAATTTCATTGTCAAATCTTGTATATTTCCATTGTATTTTTTTATTATGATACATTCTTAAGTGCATTTATTTAGCTGTGCTTGTCAAATTTAAATACTGCAATTATACGTAAGATGAAAACGAACTTGATATACACATCGGCTAACGAGAATTGTCACCGCATTTTTCGTCTCCGCGAACAAATTCTCCGTTTGCTCCTTGTTCGCGACATCCTTGCCATTGACCTGGAACGAGAAACGAAGGTTCCTTTTGATGAATAGCAGCTTCTTGATTTCTGAAATGAGTCATTGTTCTCGCGAGAAATGTACATGCATAATGAAACGCCGTATTCTGAATGTAAATCCGGCTTAGAAGCCCCTCACGTTCGTAGAGTTGAGTCAATGCAAATTTCTCATTCTCCAGAATTTACACTTGCAATAATAATGCGGCGAGAATAAAAATAGGAAAGTAAATCTTTTGGCCCTAAAAACATAGCTTTCGTGTAATTTGTATTTCCTAGCAAGAAAAAAAAAAACTTGGACGAACAGTATTTCCTTCAATTAGCATTCCAGGATATCGCTATTAATAAGAATAGCAATTAATGAATATAAATTTGTAATTAATTTTTAAATTAACGATTGAAAGTTAAAACCCCTTCGTATTCTCTTGCACATATTAAATGCCATGAATGAATATCCATTTATTATTAGATGAATATGATCCGAGGTAATTTTCTCGCGGAACAAAGTATTACATTACATTTACTATGTACATATTTTTGTATATGTTGTGCGACATATGATTACAAGGATTTCTTTAGCGCTTTCAAACTAAAGAGTGTCATAATAGTGCTTATCTTTTTGACAATAACGTAATATAGAGTAGTGAATTATTTGGTACAAAATTTTAATTTACGTTTGCCTACATAAAACGCAACTTAATAATCTTATTGTCAATTCAAAAAGATGTGTTTGAACTCTCTTTTCTTCCACGGGTTTTTTTTTAAAGCGAATCTTTAGAAGTCGCTTAAATAGCCTAGGGTAATATCTGGTAAGATATCGAATAACGAACCATCCGAAGATGGGAATATTCTTCGTGGAAATTTATCGTCAAAGGAAGACAGACAGATCGGACGACGACGAATCCATCGTATATTCATCCACTGAATTTCACCCGCTTTCTCTTCGATTCGGGCGAGAGAGAAAACGCACAGCCCATAATTATAATCTGCCGAATATGATTAGAGGACTTACAGAGTTCGGGAGGAATCTCGGCGCCAGATAATGAGGCGTTAACAGGAAATTCGCAAACGCGGAGATCTCTGACGCAAAAATTTCGACCAACAACGTGATCTTCGAAAAATTCAACACAAATGTATTGTTGCTACTGTGAGATTTATTGTATAGCGTAGGATGTTCAGGAGTGCCTTCTCAGGGGGAATTCGAGTTGATTTAAAATTGATAAAAACAAATGGTATCTACCTTTCGCCATAAATTAACCCTCTAGAGTTAAAAAAAATATTTTCCAGTTCCGTCGACCTTCCCTGGGGATTTTTCTAGGGGAAAAAGAGGAGAGCAAGCCTATTTTTCAAAATTTTCTTATGGCAAGAGTATGTTCTTTGATTTTAAATTTGAAAAAAGATGGACAAGTGAGATTTTATTTATTTTTTTTAATTTTTGAGAGAGTTAAACCCTTTTTATGAATGCAGGAAGACTCGTAAAATTTTGTACACGCAATTACTAATCTTAATCAGTAAAGTAAAAAAATGGAAACAATATTGCAAGAACAAGTTTACATTTTGCATGAGGAGGGAAAGGTTCGTTCCTTCGGTCGTAAAAAGAGAAGGGCTAATCTCAAGAGAGTATATTATCTCAAAAGTTTTTTACGACAAAGGTAGTTAAGTGGTATATTATTTTAAAGAAACACTAACTGATTTTTTTTAAACCTTCCCTTAAACCTAGTTATTGTACAACTAATAAGTATATCCGATATATTTTTATCTTCGAAATATATACATACTTAAAGGAAAATGGAAAACAATAAAATTTTTTTACTTTACCCGCAGAATTTGATCTCCTTCTCGCAATCGCCCGTCTCGAGCTGCAAGACTTTCAGGAACTATTTCCGAGATATAAATTTCTGTGTCGGCGTCCTCGCTGCCGGAACCGGAGCTATAACACACTGTCAGCCCGAGCTTCTCCGCACTTCCGCTTTTCCGCAACGTCACCTCCTACAGTATTTCGTAACTGTATTATTGTTCGCCATGGTAAACAATGTTGAGTGAAACTAAATATATTCATGTTTACACAGTCTCTCTTGCTAACAATATTAACGTGACGGCATTATTGCCGCTTAACAAGTAGTTACAAAAAAATGAAATAATATTTTAATAATGATATTTTTAAAAACCATCTTCAAATACCTCTAAATCGATAATATACACTTATTGTCGCAACAAGACAAACGAGATAATTAATGTGGCAAATAAATTATTAAATTGCATTCTCTCACAATATTTCTACAATATTAAAACTTCAACTCGAGAGTGACGTACCTCAAAATCAATGTCATGAGTAAGAAAGTCTTCGAAGCTGTCGTTCGCTTGTTCCTCAACGAGAGGAATCGGAAGCAACTCCTCCTCTATGAGACCAGCCCAGTCAGTTTGAACCGCGGTCGACACCAAAAGACATGTCGTGTCCTTTTTAACATCGTCGCTGGATATTTGATCGTCTATCGCTGGAACCTTCTCGTTCGTCGTTTCCTCGCTCTTGTCCGGACATGCGATTTTCTCGTGCTCCTTCAGAGGCGTGTGACAAATTTGTTGTTGCCCGCCAGGTTGGCGTCGAAGAACTTCAACAATAATTGGCTCCTGAGCCGATTGGAAACAACGCACGGCATCTTCGTGACTAGAGTTCGAAACGTCCTGTCCATTCACCTGAAAAAAGAAAAGAATACAAAATTGGAGGCACATACGAAAAATTAGAAATTTATATTAAATTGTACTGTCGTATTCATGATTTTATAGATTACAATTTGTGGTTACTTCAAGGCAAGATAACGTTACAAATGTGTATTATTTCACGTATCTTTCTTCAGACGTTTCAAATTGTATTATCGTTTCCGGCGCCTTTTGTGTTCTGATGCCTCTGTGTGTAAAGGCACAATTCATCCCCCTTCCCACCCCCTGTACGGAATAGAGCCGCGTCTTTATTGAGTCAGCAGATAACGGGCAAGTATCATATTTTTCGCTTCCTCTCTCATCATCTTTAATTAAAACATACCGTTCTTGAAAGGAAATATAGAGTCTCATCGTTCCTTATAATTGCTATGTCGTGCTTTAATGCCCAATTAAATAAATAATTTAGTGCGGCATCGTCAATAACGTAGCCCGAGGGAACACTGAATGAGAGAACGGAACAGGGATAAACGAGAATTTTGGAGATGTAACACTTTGTCGATCTTGAATAGACAAATTAATGAAATGACGCTTGATGATTTAAATTAGCACCTAAGATAATAATTTTTAAGAGTATTTCCTAATTTGTTAAATTAATTTCTCTGCTCCTTCGTAACATTATTTGATTATTTTAATGTCTTCAGACCAATTAAATATTGAGAAAATGAGATGCCGAGTAAAAAATAAAGCTTCTAATAATTAATATTAATATTTACTTCTAATAATTAATATTAATATTTGCTTCTAATGATTAATATTAATATTTGCATTAATATTAATTAATTAAAATTAATATTTGTTTTTGTTGAAACTTCTACTTCTAATAAATAGCTAATCGTAAAAGTTAACAAAACATTGAGCTACTGAATATTTTTTTCTGAGTAAGTAAGCTTTCTCGTGAACAGCTGATCAATATCCAATCAAGAGAGGCTGATCGACCGCTTGTCCATCCGTTTATTACATTAGTCTCTCAAGGGGACTTTGAAGCACTTTGCCGTGAATATTCGAGCCTTTGACGGAAGATGTTCGGCGTAAATGCGATTAAGTAATATTAAAAAGAGCCCTCTTCGATTTTAGACACGCCCTTCTTACAAGCCAACAACCCTTCATTAAGAACGTCCGTTCCGACAATTTCGGGGTGTTGATGACTACTTGATGAAGAAATGAGAAGAATTAAACCGTGTAAAAAGTGTTAGTTCCAGTAATTATGGGCAGCATTTAAAAAATTATGTTATTAGAAACCAAAGAAATCCAATGAACAATTTGAAAAATATTTGAATTTATATCGAACAAATTTTGTTGTAGAAATATAAAGCATTTAAAGCAAAAATTATAGGTCCAATGTATTCAAATATAGACATTTTATTTCAATTAATAAACGACAATTCTAATTTCTTCAATCGAATAAAACAAACAAAATAATGGCATAATAAAAAAAAAATGATAAAAGATAAAAGATTTTCAGTACATCGGATTCTGTCATATAAATCTTCCGGTAACGATACCCCGTATTTTATTGTACGTTATGTGATTTACGATCTCTGGGAAATAGTATTTCATTCGGTTTCGAGTCCTTTTCGCACAAGAAAATCTTTCACGAGCTATTAAGTCCTGCAATCCGTTTACTTTCCCCGATTTCTTTATTTCCACCGTCGTAAGCTCATCGATAACATTGGAATGAGCGGCGTCGAAAGTCTTTCAAAGCGCAAACTATTTCTGCCGCTTAATTAAAAAAGTCTTCTCTGGTGCGATATCAATTTCGTGTATTACTTTCGCAAGAATGCGTTTGCATGGCCATCGCCATTTCGTTCCGTTCGTTTCATTCCAGCATTTTCAATTAATCAAACGCCTTCTCTTTATTTTCGTACGCTCTTTTTCATAGGCAAATCACTGCAATTCTTCGAATTATTAAATTATTTTGCAATTTATATTGTAAAAATGAAAAATGATTTGCAATGCTTTCGGTTAACGCTTTCGAGCGAAACGCGCGATGATTAGCGAATTGATATACGCACGCTGAACGATAATTCTAATTAAAATTGTTGGAAAACATGCACATTTAAGTATATCGAATTCAACGGTATTTTCTGCAAAACCGAAAGGATGAAAGGAAATATTTCATCCTTTGAAATAAACAGCAAAAACCTGCAGATTATCTATGACTCACATTTCGTGCATATGTGGCTTTAGAATTTGTGAATTATGAATGAACATTATGCGTTGTCATAAAGCAAAATAAATGTATTAGTGCCGAGAAGCGGGAGATGATTAAGTACCATCATAATAATAATGAGCGATTTAATATCTTGTTGAAATATTTAAATAGGTACTGCGCACATGGCGCAAATAATAATAGAAGCAGCGAGCGGTAATTTAAATAACGACATGGAGGTAATCTTTCGTTTAAAAAAAATTATTATTTTATATGTAAATTAAATTCACGATTAAATGGGAAACGATGTGATCGTTTTCTGATGATGTCGATCAATTAATAATTTGCGCTGTAATAATTCGTTCAGTGAACTTAACTGAAGTCTAATTTCGGCGGTCGCGTAAAAAGGATCCCGGAGAAATATTAATAACCATCATAAATTTTAAAATGTGCATCTTCTACGATAATGTCCTACCGACCTTCCGCTTCACTTTTTTTCTCCTTTTCTCTTTCCTTTTCGACACAGCTTTGCCCAGGATCTTTCCCAAAACATTTGCCGAGATTCACTGAAAATTGGGATTAAGTTATAACTTTCGCACGACGACACGGCTTGGTATGCAAATTTATTCGGAAATTTATTCGTTACTTTCAACAGTGCCCGAATAGTCCGAGTGATTTCGAGAACGAGATCGTCGCATCCCATGGTTCTCCCTGTACAATTTTCATGCCAAGTTTCGCCGCTTAAAACATCTCCCGCTACAATCGGGAGTTTAGCGGAATAATGATATTCGCCGAGTGGCAGAGAGGGATTGTATCGCAAATTTTTGAACGCTTATAAGTAAATAATAATTTCGTGAGAATTTTATAAATTTCCATTCCTCGTACATGGCGGCTTTACGCCGGCAGAAACAAGTTCAATAACCCGGGGCTTTTGCCCGCGTTCGCTTGACTTCTCAATTTTATTACTACAGGGAAATAGTCGCTGGAGATGTATATTTTTCTCCTGGAAGCTCTGTATCTTTTGCAAATACTTTTAGTATTTTAGGTTATAACATATATTTCTCTCGATCGCGTTCCATAATACTTTAGTCCGTTAGGCAATGCTGAATAGAGATGTTCCGAGATCTGCATTTAGTAATTGCACAGTTTGGAAGATTTATTACATTTATCTATCGTCAATGTTGAAAAAAAAACCATAGTATGTTTGAAAAGTAATGAAATCGACGCTACATCAATTCGAATATTGATCGTATGTGTGTAAAAATCATTTATTTTATTTAATATATGTTTCTTTTTTTGATATCGTCACTGCAAAATAATTGATCTGTGAATAGATTTTCAAAGGGTTGCTTTCAAGGAAACCTCTTGAATATCCTTCAATACGTTCATAAGCACATCAATTAGTCAAATGGCCATGAGATGATCCAATAATGTACACGTATACGCGGATATTATGGAAAAGGGTATGCGGTCGATTTCAGGTACATGAAATTAAATGTGCCACTCTCTCGTACCGTGACACGATAATCATGCCGATACGATGCCCCCGACAGCTGTCAGAACTGATAAGCAGGAGGACCGAATAGATGACAGGTAATTTAAATTGCCTTATCGTGGACCGGCTGTTACCCAGAGTATTTCTCGTCTTCTCAGTTGTTCCTCGGAAATTGTTAATTTTAAAATAGCGCTCAATTTTTAGTGTAAAAAAAAACGTAACAAAAACGGATAACTACTCTGTTTTTTTTTTTTTTTTTTAAATAACAGACTCACGCAAGACAATGTATCTAAAATGTTATATAAGTATCGTTTGTAGAAATAATTTCCAAAATCAAGACCCCTCTCGCAAAGTTATACACATGTCATACGAGCATTAGCTGAACACGTCGAGAATTATACAACGCTTATAAATTGTTAGAATCGTCTCAGCTAATTTCTACACATTACATCTATTACTCACTTTCTGTAAAAATATATTTTTTGTATCGAAAAGTAGTTTTTACGATTATACGCCGTGCGCGGTAATGCTCAAACAACATAATAATTGGCTGTAAAAAAATATTTGATTTGCTTTTGCGAATTTGTAAATAGTTCAGTGAGTTATTTACGGAAGCGATACGAAAATTAACGCGTACGCTACGTTTGGCGTTATTTAAACGATACGTCATGCCGTTTCGTATTCAAGATATGTCATCAGTGCGCGCGATAAATTATTTCGGATGACACAGGACTTGTGTCAAAGCTCTCTGAACAGTATATTCCGCTGCGGGCTGGCGTTATTCCGCTAATTGAAGCACGTGTCATCTCTGAACTGTGCGCGAGACTCATGTGTTTTGTTGCTTGAACGCTCTATTTTTCGTACCGCCCTGCAAATAGAATTACGACGGTGTAATAAGAACTGTAACTGCAGCGGAGACACGCCGAGAAAGAGAGAAAGAGAACGCACGTCTCATCCGAGGGAGGAGAATAAGATATTTTTAACTTTTACTCGTCGCCAGGATTTTGCGCTGAATTCACCGTGAAACGTGCCGCTTTTTACATTTGGTATAATAAAATGGCTGTCCAATGATTACGTGACTATTTCGCGAAAATTAATTCATCATAAAATTATGTCGCGTGATTTCTTTCGCACTATTGCAGAGAATTTAATCTTGTAGATTAATTGCTTTCTGTGATACGAGAAATTTATTCAAGAAATATATAAACGGATATAGCTATGCGAATGAGAATATATAAATTGCGAGATAATCGATATGAGCGAATATATTTCAAATTTATTCTTATTACTTTAGTAAATCAAATACATTCAATCTCTAAATTGTTTTCAATC